ACCAAATGAAAGAGGTTTTTCCATTCGTTTATGACGATGAAATGGTGTAGTGCAATTAAACGGTAGTTTAAGCAAAAGAGGCATAAGGTAACTTAGTCACTTTCAAAATAAACTGCTCATATGATTTCTGTTAAATAATGGGTTAAATTTTTGTAAAAAAATTCTAACAATTAAACTAACTTAAGAAAGATAGTCAAAACTGGTAAAAATGTCGTGCTCCTATTGTTTTTCACATGACTATAGATGTACGCATGTGTGGGATTTTATCAAACAATGGGATTAATAAACTTTAACTTGGTAATTTTATTATTCTCGAAAACAATTTTTATTGGACCGTAAATAATTTAGACATACTTTTCCTCTTAGTAGCAATAAATATGTATTTGTATTTCGTATTGGAAAATATTTTACGATTTCTCATGAAGAAGCAAATAGGGGAAACATTTTTCGAAAACAAATTTAAATTTTAAGGCATCGACATAACTTTACTGAGAAAGGGTACCCATTGATTGGCGGTGGAAAGATAAAGTGATGTTTTTTTTTTGGAGAGATATATGTACGCGCATAAATGGCCGGCACATAAAATTTTATTTTTATTCAGAACGTCCCACAACACATACTTCGATCAAATGTAAGTACAAATATATCAAACTATCGCATTTTTTTGTAAACAGGATTAAAAAAAAATGTTCCTATCACCTCGTGATCTAAATACTCCATATTTTATAGGTGCAATGCCTTTATTTTCATTAGTCTATGCTGGCATGCATGTCCGCAACAATTGAAGTATTTAAGTAATATTTATGTTGCACGCCCAACTGTTTATTAAACAAAAACTCTAAGCACAGCATTGCCAACTGCTTGAATTTATTTTTAATTTAATGATAGCACACGCGTATGAAATAATTTTATTTTAAATTTTATATTTTATAAATTGCAATTAATCCGCAATGGAAATACACATAATTTTAACATACTCGTTGCTATTTAATATAATTTTCTATAAGTTCACAATGAATTTCGATGCCGTACACAACACCTGCAATCAATTCCGAATTGACTGCGATTAATTAATATAATTACTTCATCGTTTCACGCACAAGTTCAATGGTTGCGGATGTTAAAGCGATTTTCCGCCATTCATTATGGCCATTTAGGGTTTAATTTTCAATTTAAATCATTAAAACGGTTAATATCGGCAAGACAATGAGACGCATGCGCAGCTGCTGATTTGTAATGTGACAAGGATGCGCAGCTGCACTCTATCTATAGGTATATGTACCTGTAGTTTAACTGTTTAACAGACACACACACACACCCGCAAAGGATGAAATTTGAATAGTGTAAATTGCAAACAAATACGGGCGGCCATATAACGCGTATAAATAGTGGCGCAACTGTTTGCATGCGACTGCTAAATGTACACAGCATAGTATGCAAGCATGTGTGTATATATATATGTAATTATGTATTTGATAATGGTGAAATTAAACCCCAATGTATAATTAAAATCGCCCTTAATATACTGTGATTACATGCTAATGAAATGAAATGCGATGAAGAGAAATAAAACAGATCTCTGCTAAAGAATCAGCAATGAATGTGTATGTAGGTATGTATGCATGTACAATGTACATTAGAGTGGTCCAACTTTTGTATGGGGGTAAAAAATCGTCCTCCTAGAAAACGGGCACCCTTTTAGTTTTTTCCTTTTGATATTTGTAATATCCATACCAACTTAAAATTTTCTACTGTAACGAATACAGGGTGCTCAATGACCTTGAAATGGATCGCTGTGAAACTGAAAAAAAAATATTGGCGATTTTTATAAAAAGCTACTGTTGCCATGACAACTGAAGCTTGTTATATTTTTTAGACAATTTACATTTGAAATGTTCTTAGGCTGCTTAACTAATTGTTTGATTAATATATGTACACAATACTTCTAGAGTAAAATATGAGCAGAATAAGCATCCTCTAAATTTATACTTAGTAGAGTAAAGCCAGCACCTCTTTCGGCAGGAGGAAAAATTTTGGAAGGTGCCCCAAACCCTATCTCGTTTTTTTTTTTGGACCACTCTAATGTACATACAAACTCAGCAATGTATATAGGTTGTCAGGTTAGTTTCAATAAAGCAGCCTTGTTCCGGCACTGACCTAGAGGTCGAAATACTACAATGAATCTATCAATGAATGTATGCGAAAGAGCACGTTAATGCTGTCCAGTCCTTTGATTGCTCTTCCATGAGTGCGAGACGAATGGCAGAAGTGATGATGTCATGACAGTTACATGTATGTATAGATTTAAAATTAATGAAAAAGAGAGGAATTAATTTCCTGCCGATTTATATCGACAGCTTAAGCGTGTGCATAAAATTCCAATTAAATTAATAAATAGGCGTTAAAGGATAATCTTTGTTGTTTACTGATGTTCATCAAATGCATAGAGAAACGTAAAAAGAAACAATGCAGAATCAAGCAAATACATACGTGTGGATGTAATTACTTTCCAAAACTATTCAAAAATCTCTCATTCAAAGAAGGTTTTGAAGCAATAATACAAAAAGAGATAAAGATTTAGAAGAGGTAAGGTTATACCACTTCTCAAACGCCTAATCACTTTGAACGGAATGGCCCGTTGTTTTGAAATATGCTAAGGCAATGCAAAACATTCGATGCGGTGTCAGTCGGTGGTGGCTGTTCATGCGAATATATCGACCCCAAACCAAATTTTACAGGAGAGGAGTTTTTATGCTTTTCAAAATTTTTTTAATTTTTGCATTGTAATATACGATAAAATGAACAGCAAATTTTGGGGATTTATCCCCAATATTTTACTAAGTGATGCGTTGTGGAGTGTCGAACAAATTTGCATCGAAAAGTTAATTTCGAAAAAAATGGTACATACGATAATTTTGCACAAAGGGGTCGATATCCTCTGCTTTAGAACGAACACGTACAAAAAAGTTTGGTTTGACTTGGTGTTTCTAAATGGCTGGAATTAATATTCGACTGAATCTATATGGAAGTTGTATTGCTGATGGAAAAGAAAGAGTACTTGTCAGTAAGGCATAGCTTATTAGAAAGTTAGGCGAGGCCTATTGGAATTGCCAAGTTAAGCCAGGTCTTTCTTCAACTTGTCTTTCCATTGCAGAGGAATCTTAAAGCTTAAATACATACATATACGGGTCGTTCTTAAAAAACATGACCATTCTGAATTTTGTAATTTTTAAAAATTAAGTTGGCCAAATATGTTTATAATTGGCCTCATGTGGTTACGGATGGTATCAACAATAGGAATCCATAACCAGCAGTATTTTTTTTAATTTTTGGAGTTTTTGGAGTTAATAAGTCACAGAGTGGACCGGTAACAGAGGGGACAAATTAACTCAAAAATACCAAATTTTAGCTTTTTATTCGAATTTTGGAGAATTTATTTGTCCACTTAATTAATGTACATAAAATATTTATAAAAAAATTATAAAATAAATAAAAAATCACTTTACTCACCGTTTTTCAACAGTAACAGAGTTGACACTGAATAAGGGTACGTACCCGGCATACAATTGGGTTCCTTACTCAACAACGCACTAAACAAGACTGAACAGTTCAAAACACATTTTGTTGATTTTAGCTAAGTTATGATGGAGAAGCATAAGAGAAATATACGCGTCATAACGTTTAACAAACATTTTTCAATAAAATGAGTGGACGTAACAGAGGGGACCAAAACCTGGGGACACAAATTTTCTTCATAAAAATTATACAAAAAAATTATTTCTGATCATTCTTTTCTATATATGGTATTAATATACACAAACTGAATAACAAAAATTGTAAATATTATTTTTTTTCAATTTTATTTCAACTGAAAATAACTATTAAATTTTTATAAATTGGCTCGGGACACAGGTTTTTGCTAAACCTTTGACATTGAAAATATTTTTTAAGTTATTTTCAGATAATTAATTATTTTTTTTTTATAATATAGTTACGTAGAATCGATAATAATTTATAAAAATGCAGATATTTTTCTATTTTCTTTTTGAAGAAACAAAATATAAAATAGTAAAGTCTGGGGACACCAATTGGTCATGTTTTTTAAGAACGACCCATACACATACTGTACCAACATCCCTGAGACAAAAGTACTTTTGCAAGACAACTACGAAACAAATTATTTTTTCGTCGAACGTACATTCTTATCATATCTTCGACATTTACAATCAAACCCTAAAGCATTTTTTTCTTGTTCCAATTTTCAATTACCTCAAATAATCCGAACTAGTAGTACTTAGCCGACAGATCTCAGTTCCTGCCAACCTAACGCACCTCCCTAATGCTAGTAAATTAAAGCCCTTCAATTTTTTTTTTTTATTTCAGCAGAACTATTAAATAAAATTTTTGTTTGAAATTGCTTTGCAAAAATACTTTGTAAGGCGGTCCGTGTACACTTTGCTTCAATTGAGTTTTAAAGAAATTAAAACAACTCGAATTGCATTCGTTTTTTTTTTTTGTTAAATAGACGGCAAGAGTTAAGAGCGTTTACCAAAGTGACACTTTGGTTTTTTAACTACATATTTTTTATTTTTGCTTCCAAATAAAAGAGTTCGCCATAATTTTCAATTAACCGACCGTGCATTGAGGTTTTTTATTTGGGAGATTACTCTTTGCACCGGCACCCTGGTAAGCAACATCTTTTTTGCTTATGTACCTTTTTATAATAAAAACTGCACTCCTCCTCCTGTTTTTGCTCTCCTTACTCTACTCGTCAAATAAATTATAAAACACAATTGCTCGTTAAATTCTTTTTTAAAATGCAATATTATAAAAATATGATTTCGACTGGTAGCTAAAAATATACAAAACTGTGTATGTACATAAATGTGTGCGTATCTAAAAACGAAAAAAAAAAAAACAAAAACATTACCCATACGTATCTGCATACTAAAACCCCAAACAAACATTTAAATGCGTATTTTTTTTTTTAACTTCTTTACCTCGCTTATGTTTCGCATAATTCGTGACCTCGTTGCTGCAGCACGGCTGTTCGTAGTAAAAATTCCATGTATTCTCGTAATCGCAGGATATTGGTGGCACACAATGCACCAGCAACAACAACATGGCAGCGTACACGAACAGCATTGGCGTCTTTTGTTGGGGACGTGTTGTTGTTGTTGTTGGTCGCCACAATTGGATTATTGTGGCGTTGGGGTTTTGTGTGGTGGGCGGCGGCATGTCTGTTTGTTACGCGGATTGCAGCCAAACTTTTTACGCTCGCTTATTATTATTTCGTTATTTATTTTTTTGTACTTTTTTTCCTTTGTTAGAGTATAACTTTTTCGTAATATTTATTTACTTTTTATTTGCACTTTTATTATACACACACACACACATACATGCTAACATTATTTGTATGTAAATATGCGTACGTATTTTAATTTTTTAAAAGTGTTGAGCACTGTGTGTTTTTTATTTTAAGCTCGCATTGTTTTCCCGTTATTTATACAATATTACTATTTATGATGTTTTCACTAGCCGCATGTGGGTATGTGTGTGTATGTGTGTATGTTTGCGCGCATATAAAATATATTTTTGATCCTTTTTACCTTAATGCGAGAGCGTTCACGTACGCGCCTTTTGCCTGAAATGGGCTTTTTTATATGAATTATTGTTATTAAATTTATTTGTTTACTATTTAAGACGAATAAATGGCGTTCATTGATATTATTATTTATTGCATTATTATATGCCGTAGTTGTTGTTGCCGGTGGTGGTTTTTATTTGTTTATTCATTTTTTTTTTTTTACATGCTAGCCCGTTCAGCAGGAGTGATATAATAAATATTTGATTAATATATTTTTTTCGCTTTATGCTCTTTTTTGTTTTGCTATGCTGTGTATGCTTAATGCTTCATCAATATACATATTTTTATTTTAAGGAATTAAAGGTGATGCATTTATTCAAAAGGTATTAAGCGCTTTTAAGTGCCTGCATTTTTAATTGCCGCTGAGACAAAAAAAAAAATGTTTTAAGTGGTTACTTTTGTATCCATATGCATATGGAAATCATGTTATCCCTTTTAAGTGCTTAAGCTGATTTAATTACTTATACATATTGGAGCTAAACGCTTTTAGCCACGTGAATCAAGAGTTTGGAAAATGAAGGAAATGTGAGAGAGAGGAAAGTATCTTTTTTTTCTGAATAGAATGCTGATATTGGACAAATAGGAAGAAGATACTATCTGGATCGTTTTTGTGGGCGTCAATAGCAGTAATTATAAGCAGCTAAGCACAACACATGCACACTTACATAAATTTATTGGGTGGAGTAAGTCATTCTCGAAAAATCAATAGATGTGTTTAGATTTTGGCGATAAATATTTTTACTCTACATGAACACAAAGAAGTTTCCGCCGCAAAAATTTACCAATTTCTGATAAGGGTGAAAACAGTTGACGAAAAGTGGATTTTTTACAACAATATGGATTGCAAACGGTCTTGGTCCCTCTAAAGATTTTGAAAGCAGAAAGAACATATCGGCATTTTGCTTCGATGCATCGCAAATTTTCCACTCGATACATAAATAGCCGATGTATCGATATATCGATGCATCGATGTTTTTTGAAAACTGACACCTTTAGTACATTAAACCGGCATTTAATTTTTTTTTATTCGTTTAAAAAAGAGAAGTGACTTTGACTAAACAAATTGAAATGGCTACAAAAGTTCCTTTGAAAGCATACAATTTCAAATTTTGTTCAAGTTTGTTAATAACTTATTTTGTTGTGTAATAAATATCATCTGAAGAATCCTATGCAATAGATGTATGTACTTCGATGTATCGAAAAATATTGATGTATATACATACATTTTGATGCATCGAATCAAAGAAAAACATTCTACGAACGGTGAATTATGATGCTCACCAATTTGTCTATCAATGCATCCAACTGTACGGGAAGTTCAAAAATTGGCCAAGATTTCTATCAGTATCACATTTTTCTTGCATTTACATTGTGATTTTTTCAGATGCACAAGATACGCGTTTGGCTAAGTTTTTTTTAATAGCGCGACCCAAACCGAAAACCCGTTGCAGTGCCAAAGAAGGCGAAAAATATCTCTAAAATATCACCTTTGGTGCCTCCACAAAAAAGACGCAAAGAAAAAACAAAAAAAAAAAATCGACCCCTCCTTTAGTGACTCCAAATTGGTACCTCTGCACAACTCTATCAAGTATATGTATATATGTATGCGTATGTGAATTGGGATTTGTTTGTTTGTTGTTTTTTGCATTATTTTTATTTTTGTTGGAAAAAGTCAAAGAGCAAACCACAATGACAGACGGATAAAGACACAAAAATAACAACACAGCGCAAAACTGGTTTCAGAAAAATTTTATGCCTACACAACAATTAACCGCAAAAAAAATATGTACCTACCTACGTATGTAGCAATGTGTGCGAGCAAATTGGAACGCTTGAATAGAGGAAGAGTAGTGCTTGTTGGAGAGAAAATAGCTTGTGTGTATTTTCAAGAAAACATGGCGTTGCCAATTAATTCATATATAATAAATATCATTAACTTAAAACAGAAGGGCTCCATCTGGCATCTTTGTTTCTTTAAAGAGTGGTAAAAAAAAAACATCAGAAAACTAGAGTTCTTCAGTTGCTAATTTTTTCAAAGGATTATTATACCCGAGCGCACTTTTGTAATGCAACTTTGTTCACAAAGCGCTTGTCTGTAACAGCCTAAAGCAATCGAGATAGATATAGACATACATATGTATATATCGCCGTTTAAAGTACAAAACCGCGTATCTAAGGTTGCATAAATTATTTTCTAGAGAGTAAAAAACACTCATTATTCAAAATCGGACAAACACATCGCCCACATTCCATATAACGGTAATTTAGAGAAATACGAAATCTGAGATAAATCAGTAACTACTGAAACTAATTATGTCTGAAATAAATCTAAATATTTATGCGATTAGAAATGTTTTTTTTTTGAAAATAGACCTGCAACTTATGTATTTGCTGATGTAGTGTAAATTACATTGATATATTGGGCAATTGGCATTTAATTTAACAAATTTGCTGCAAAGCTGAAGTTCGCAGTAAATTAGTTAGGGCTAAGGTAACGACGATACACAAATTTTCTACATATTTTGTACAATATTTTGACTTTCAGTTTTTATTTTGTTTTGGGTTGTTTCATTTCTTCTCGTTTCATTTTATGTAAATTTATTTAATTTCATTCCGTTTCATTTTGTCGACTTTTCGATTCCATTTCTTTCCATTCCATTTCATTTCATTGAAGTGCAAATATTTTTGTTATTTTAGCTAATTTCCTCTTATTTCTTTTAACTCTTTTCTGTTTACATTATTTGTTTTAACTAAATTTTGAAACAACATTTTACTTTTTTTTTAATTATGTAGATTTGTATTTACGGCATAATGATAAGATTATTTTCGGCGGGACAAAAATTCTCACAAACTGGTAACCCTATATCCTCCTATAGCTGAGAAAAAGAGAGAAAAGGTATCCGACATTGTGGGTACACACTTGATATGGTAAATTCTTCACAGCAATAGGAGTATACAAATAAATTTGTACATTTATTTAAACGTCAGGGCTAACAGATATACATATAGTTATACTACACAACTTTCAGCAAAATTTCAAATTAATATTTCTTGCAAAAAGAATATTATGTTAATAGACCCATACGAAAATAGTAAGCACAAATTTTTGCAACGCTGCTTTCAAATAAAAATAAGTATGTACACATATATTTACAATGGTATATCTATTTCTATTTTGTTTTAGTATCACTTTGCTACTTTTTTTTAGATTTCAGAGTACTCGGATTGGTTAGAATTTGTGTACATCCACTTTTCCATTGATAATATACATTATGCAGTTGATTGAAATATAAACAAATTTCCACACTATTAACTTCAATTACTTATACGAGGAGTACCAAAGATTATTCATACATATTTAGTATGTATATACATACATATGTGTATACGTTTGTAATTCACTCGAACTATTTCACACCGTAATAGCACAACCACGTCTCTCCGTATTAGCACCACGCAGATCACTGAACCGCTCTAACTAACAAATAAAGACCGTCCAGTTTCTTTAGTGATCTTCAAGAAGCGATCCATTCTCAATTAGTTCCCGCGGCATTTACAAGAAAACAACAAACGAAATAAATTCCAATGGAGTTTGTTTTGTTTCGCAGTGGAACGACGACTATGGAAAACATATATAGGTACTATATACATAGTATGAATGGAATGCGATGATGAGTACCGGAGAGTGAATACCAACGTACTTAACTAAATACATACGTGTGTATGGTGCTGGAGGGTAGGGCAGGTAGGTAAACATAATTATTTTGTCTTGACTTCAGCGGTCAAATGCAACGGAATGAAGACTGTTTTTCCACACACTTTATTTTTAGGTAATATCTTGAAAAATTTATAAGTATTTGGGATGATAATAAATATTATTGTGTTTTATACTTAACGGGTTTGTTATTTATATTGTATCTACACATGAACCCAAATGTGCATTAACTATGCTCACATTTGTATATATACCTGTATGTATTTGAGTCAACGGCATCTTGATATTAGTGAGATATCAGCTAAATGCATAGCCAGTTTAGCAAAATAGCAGCAAAGAGAGTGAAAGAGAACGTATTTGGCTTGGGGAGCTTTTGAATTAAAGAGCGAAAGAGTCGGCTCTTTTGATTGAACTAGGTCATTAGTTCGTTCATTAAAGTGAACTAACATTTTCTGTGGCAACACTCCAATAAAAATAGAAATGTAGTTTTAACACATATGGCATCCCGCTTTTCGTTGAAAAGGCATAAAGAAATAACTGATCAGAATTCGCGCTCAACAGAAATTTTTATATCATTGAATATTCAATGTTTTACACCGTTTAGTACAATTTGTGTAAAAAAGTAAATATTTGAGTTGAGTTTTTGGGACTTGATGTTTAACGAAAGACTTTCGATTTCAAATGCCAAAGCGAAGCGCAATTTGGTCGCTTTTCGAAGACAAACTTGAAGAAGAGAAAATATTTCCATAAGAATTGTTGGTGGCTTTCATGGAAATTTGAATCACCAT